TAGTAAGTATTTATCACACAAGCATGGAGACCTAAGTTCAACACCTGGTACCTATGAGAAAACCAGGTGTGGTTTCCCTGAGATCCTAGCACTGAGGAGGCAAGATATATCCCTGAGGCTTACTGACCAGCCAGTCTAGCCAAATTGTGATAACCCAGTCTCAAAAACAGAGTGCTTAGTTCCTAGAGAACACTGCTTGATATTTACAAGCTGACAAGCACACATACACAACACACATTTAGATATGCAGGGGATGTAGCTAGAAAGAACAATTAGTATCTTACAAAGGCATTGTTTCTAGCTATGTGAATCTACTGAGTAGGCTGTGTCAATGAAAGCCTCCTGGATAGATAGACAGGGACAGGGAAAAACAATGCAAATCATATTCCTTAAAAATACCTAGTAAATACCTAATAGGAGTGTCATCCTACATAGATGCCTTTATCAGAGGGGCCACATGTTTATTGTCAGTGGGTAGGAAAATGTGCTTCTCTTTAGAACAGTCACTTTCTATTGCCTTCTTTGCAAAGAGGTGCTTAGTAAAATGTCTGCATCACCAACACTAAAGAACACTTACCACCTATCAATGTGTTTCTATATGTTCAGTTGTGACAACCACAGATATAGTGCTTTTGTATTTATAGGCATATTATAAGGTTTGCTTGTCAAATTAATTAGTTATCACAAATTAAAAAGCATGATCCCAATTGTCATTAGCCTCACTATTAAGTGGCACAAGTAGACTTTGATTTTTATTAAGTACAGATACAAGAGTTTTCTATCCGGTTAAAAACATAATCTCCAAAGGGACTATTTGATTGCCCTGTGGGACACTAGCCAGTTTGTATCTAAGACATTTTCCTATAAAAGTCTTTCCCAAGTGTTCATGCATCACTCTTCTGATTCTGTTTCTTGTTGGAACTCAGTGTCTATGGCACTGGCACATCTATTCTATATTTATAGGCAAGCCATGTTTTGAATTTTTTTGAGTTTATTAATTGGCAATATCCAACCAATAAAACATAGAAAATGTTTCTAGATCGTATCCACTGGAACAGTTTCATAGGTAAACAGAGTTAAAAGCTTTATAGGAAATAACTGAAAGTAATAGAAGATGATTTCTTATTTCAGAGTCAAGGGAATGGAAGAAAGGAGGTGAATGAATGAGTATATAGACACTGCTAAACTGGATGGTTGAAGGGTTAATGACTGAAAAGCCTCAGGTGGACTGAGAAGCTCTGGACAGGAAATGGCTTGACTGTTGACATCTATGGAAGCTTCTGGTAAGGAGATCCACAGCCCAAATGTGGTGCCTTCAGAATGCAGTGTAACTACTCTCCAGATGAACTCTTTCATTTCCAAAGTGTCCTCCATTCCATGCTAAAGAAACCCCAAGCCTTCCATAACATGTGCATACTCTATCCTCTCCTGGGGAGAGACTGTGGCCATTCAGCGGTTCTGATTTAAATAAATGAATAAATAAATAAATAAATAAATAAATCTACTTCTAGAGATGTTAGTCTGCTTTCTGTTATTTTGAAATTGCCTCTATCAATCTGGATCTAATAAAGGTGACAAGTGAGTGGCTGCTTCCCTTTCAGATGGATTAATTACTACAGACCAAAGAAGATGATATCCCTTATAGATCTTCATAATCTGACCTGTCCACCATACAAATAGAATTACCTTTGTCTGAGACAAGATCAGTGCTTCTACCATGTTCACTAGTAGCTGTGTCATCTCCTTAGCCGTGTGGTACCATGTACATGGAACTAGAAAGAGACAAGTAGGGTGGAGGGTAACAGAAATTTTCTACATGAAGATAAAGATCATCTTTAGAAATGGCTGTTACAACATTCCTTGGCTTCTTCCTAAAGACAAGGGACAGGTCTAAGGAATAGTTTGCCCAGTCTTCAAAAGCAGCCATGGGGACTCAAATTATTTTAATGATGGGCAAATGAATCAGCTTATAAATGATTCTCAAAAGTTCCTGCTTCTTCCTTGTTTACTTGGACAAAACAAAACAAAACCAATCAAAGGAACAACAAAAACTCCATCAGGATCATAATCTTAATAATAGAAGTTGGCTTTAAGAATTATAGTCTGAAGAGAAATCTAAGGTAATTGTAATATGTCATGCATGGAACTTCCAGGGAGTGAAAAACACCCGTCAGCATGGGCTGATGTTGAGTTTTGTCTTCAACACCTTCCCTGTCAGGGCTTCCCACTGCTATCTTGACACCCTTCCTTCTTGGAAATCAGTGGCTTCACAAGAAAAACACATCTCAGTTAGTTATCACATTTGATTAAACACCTCACCCTGAAGTGTAAATAGCTCATGGCTCCTCCTTTCTCAGAGACATTTGCACCCCTTAGCTCTCTAGCAGCCCTCTCAAACAGTGGAATTTGAGCTATCTGGGAAAACCAGATAAGGTGGATATTTTGGGAAGAAAGACTTCCCCCAAAGGCTATTTCTCAAACCACATCACCTTGGGACAATTATGACAGTGATTTATTGAATACAAAAAAAAGGCAACGACACTGTTTTTGAGTATAAAATGTCTGTGTTTGCTTAGCTTAGCTGATTTCTTGGTATATCTTCAATAAACTGACAGAATTCCATAGAAGAATGTTTTTTTTTCTTGTTGTTCTATATTTCTCATACTAAATTTCTACCTTTTTGGAATATCTTTTCCTTAAAAAAAATTCATCCTACATTAAAAAAAAAAGCTGTATAAATTCGACAAATTAATAGGAAAAGCCAAAACATGAACCAGGAAAAAGTTAAGATCAACGTTTTGAAAACACAATCTGTAGATATCAAAGTAAAATACACACACATGCAGAGTCCAAAACCCATGTGATTAAATAAGAATCTCACTGATCAAAAAGTCTGTGAGTCTGTCCCTTTAAAAATCTCAAACTTCTCACACATAAGCAGAACATACACATGCATGCAGCATAAACACTTCTGAACCTGTAAGTTAAAAACACTTAAATAAGAAAATAGAAAAAACTCTGTGGTACACAAAGCTAGTAAGCTCAAGAGAACATTTTTATTTTTTTTCTGGGAAGCCTTTCTGTTAGCTCATCTCTATCATATGTCATTGGCTCATAGCGATCCAGGTTCGTCATCTTGAATACTCTACACTACCTTGCTCTCAGTTTTATCGACACAAGCCATGTGTAGATAACACCAGAAATCCCCCGGGCAGTCCGAATCCATTTGTTTTCTATTCATTTCCTGAGACAGAAGAATTACAAAGTTGTGTGTAGGAAATGCAACATTTGTCCTGCACAAATGTCTTTATCTTTATTTGCCCGATTTTGGGCTATATATATATTTTTTTTTAGATTACTCACAGCCAAGGGTCATATTTCCATGATGATAAATTTCATGTTACACTTGCTGTGAGCTGATGTCAGTGCAAATTGGTGCCAGGACAGCTTCAAAATGCTGGTAAAGAGGAAGTTTCTGTATTTTATTTCTGTATTATATTGTCCTGTTTTCCTGTGAGGAGAGCCAGGGAAGACTTGGAACTGGGGCTCATTTTCCGCCTCTCTCATCTCCTCACAATAGATAAATATCTTCAACTCCCCCACCCCCAAATCCTTGCCCACATTGGCTAGACTTCAGTCCGATGATCTGTGAGCTGACCTTCAGTGTTCAAGCTCTGGATCCTAGCACCCCCTGAAGCATAGCCCTGTTCATGCTGGGGAGATCTGGGCTTAGGACAATAATGTGACATACACAGTTGTACCTCTGGCGAAGGCCATTTCTGACTATAATGATGCTTCCTGTCTGTTATCAGCCTGTTTGGCATTGGATATGTGTCCACTCCCTGTGACAACTGGAAGCCAAGTGTCATAGCTCAAAGATAACATTTTGCCTTGTCTTTATTCCATTTCAGAATGGATTCAAGCTTTCTGTATTGGGTAAGCTCCATTTGGAGTCGGAGGGGAATTCCAAAGCCAAGAATGTTCTGTTTGCGATGTAATCCCAGTAACGTGTGGAATTTTCATCACTGTGATTTTTTTTCCCCTTGCAAAATTGAAATGTTGAAGAAAATGCAGGAAACTGGCAATTAAAATCAATTCCCCTCACAACAGCAGCAGGATATCAGTGAGAAAATATGTTCTTCAACTAGTGTAATAATTGTTGGCAATAAAGTCTGGGAAGTGCTTATGGGGCACTCCATTTGACCTGGAGATGCTGCTCTCTTAAATAAAGAGGTCATATTTCAAGGGCTGGTTCACATGGTGTTTTGAATTCAGGGCCGAGTTCTGATTAAATGCATGGGATAAACAAGATTTTAGGTTAAGCCTCACAGCCTCAAATATGTAATGTCTTTTACCTGTAGAAGTTACATAACAAACAATGAACATATGACAGCCTGAGATACACTACATTCTTTAGTTATAAAGCCGTTTGCAAACAGTAAGCTTATTACACAAAAGGCTGAGTCTCATAACTAGATGGATTGGTGCCTAATTGCTGTCCAGTTATTCAAACATTGTACTTTCTGTTAGTAGGCACCTACTATTTGCCAGACACCATTCTATCCCATGAATGCTGTAACCAAAAATGACAAAAGTTTTTTACGTATCACGAGAAAAATGACAGATAAACAGAAAGAAGAAAGGAGAAGACAAAGTACAACTTATAACCCCTAAGAAGCTTTAAAGCCAAGAAAGTACTTCGAAATACCAAGGAAGGTATGGTAGGAGTTTTTTATTTTAGCTCTGAGAAAGTGTGGTAGTCAGGCTCTGGGGTAGGGGATAAAGCCAGCTTTCCAGGTTTGCACAAAAGCCAAATGCCAAGCAGAGCCCACAGCTAGTACAAATACCCTGAGCCATGCCAGGTTTGCTTCAAATCAATTGAGAAATGACGTGTTGTCTCTTGCATAATAAGCAGGGAACAGACTCAGAAATACTGCAAGATGGAAGGTCTTTTAATTAAGTTCTCCTCACTTGCTTAGTGACTACTGAACTTCAGGGATTCTCCTAGAGACAACCAGCAAGGCAGAAAGTTGGGGTGAGTGAAATTTGCTCATCTGTTTCTGGTATGTTCTAATTTATGCACAAGTCATGATCTAGGAATGCTTGCAATGTATTATCTCTCAGTTAATATGTAAGCATGTGTTTTTATATGTATATTTTATGGTGTCTTGTGTGGTACAGAAGGTTGAAAGAAAATTTTATTGTGCAATGGAGCCTATATCCAAAGAACAGGATATGTAGCTCATTGGTTTGTAGCAAAAGTAAGCAGCCGTGGAGTCACCCTTGATCAAAAGCAGAAGCCTGTTAGCTCCTCTTGTGGACCCAGTAAACACTTCCCACTTCTCTGGGACGGTAAAACTGTGGTTTTCATTATTGTTGTTTGGTTGGGTTTTTTTTGGTTTTGTTTGTCTGTTTATTTTTGTTCTTGTTTGTTTGTCTTAGTTTAAATAACAATCCTAGCCAGAGACAAGAGGTCTACTGTCCAGACCAGCCTGGGCAAAGTGAGACCGTCACAAATAAAAAGGAAGCAACTAAGCAAACAACATTCCCTACCATTTTGTGTCACTACAGGGTGATAAATGGCCCTTCATATTCATGCCAGCTGTGGATCACAAGAAAAGCCATGCCCCAAGTAGTCTTCTTTCTCCTCCTCATTACCCCTGACCTGCTAAGTTATTCCAGTGATATATTCATTCTTCTTGAGGAATAATCTATAAACAGTAAAATGTATGTGTCTGGAACCTAGCTCATAATTATTATTCACACTGCACATGTAGTGATTGATAGAAACACTGGGTGTGTTCAGCATCGGTGCACGTGGTTTTTAGGGACCTGTGACTCAGACGCACAGTGCATGGCTCCAGTACTCCATTTTGTGCCAGGCAAAATCCAGAAGGATTCAGCTAGCAACCCAGTGAGGTCCCTGAAGCCTCTGTTTAAACTCTTTCTAAATGTAGAGTGTTATCAGTTTCCCACTCCCTCTCCCTTCCCCTCCCTCCTTTTCCTTCTGTGGACAAAACAGACTGTTATAGATTGGTGATAAGAATCAGTGTCTACTGAAAGACTTGTCAAGCCCACCACCATGGGAAGTCTTCAAAGCATCCCAGGCACATTACCCTGCAGTGGAAAGGGACTACCTGTCAGGGAAGCACAGCTCACGCCTACCAACTCCCTTCTCCTAGTTTCCAGGAGTCCCTTGAATAGGTTTGCCTCCAATCTCACTGAAGATTCGCTTCCTCATTTTCTGCCTGCCGAGTGCCTGGTAACATGGAGAATATATAAGATGTGGTTTTAGAAGTATAGGAGGCAGGACAATGGACCACATTTCCAGATTATAACTCTGCTTGCCAATTAGGTGTATTGAAGCAGAATTTAGCTCACCTGAATACCTCTTTTTCAAACAACTAACTAATTAACTGATTAAATCAATCAATTAATTAATATGTATTACTCTATGGCTTTTTCTGCTAAGTAGACAATAGTGAAATATAAACACAATTCCTCCTTTTAGTCATAAGAAGCTAATCAAGGCACAAATGTCTGCATTTCCTTTTTTTTCCCCAGACAGTCTAACTAACTCTGAATTTACATATGATAATGTTCAATACTCATTTGTTAATAAAGATGTTTACAAATGAGTCAGAAATTCATGACACAGTGTAATTAAACCTCATACTGTAATTATACTTACATATTAAGTGCATATTTTGCATACCCATCTGTATATTATTAATTCAAACCTTTGCCCTCCACAACAACAAAACATCAGATGACTTAGCAAGCAAAGCAACTCCAGGCATTTTCTAAGGTATTCCTAACTTCTGGGCCTACATTTTGTGTGGACACTTAGGGTTTGCCCTTGAACTTTCTGTTTGAGATCAGCTGCCGAGTGAGTGCAGAGTGCCGAGGGTACAGGAAAACAATGTCACACAAGGCTTGCAAAGCTGGTTTATATTAGAGTAGGGTTGATATGCTCCTCATCAGATAATGGCATTAGAAAGCCACAGATGCCACTTCATGTACATGCCCACTCTTGGATGTCTTAGTAGGATGCAAATCCTATGACATAGCACACTTTAAAAACACTTGATATGACCTTTTTCACATGAGAGCATGCAGTGTCAGGGTATTTCCTTTCCCTTTTTTTTTTTAAAAAAAAATATCCTTTTAAAAAAAATGGGAAGAAAAACCAAGTAAAAGACCCATACTAAGCAGGGTTGGTCAAGTAAAGACACGATTCCTCCAGGCTTCATGTAAATCCTAGGTGATCTAGTGAAGATGCACATTAATTCTTCAGGGTGGCTTGGTTCCCAAGTTAGAAATGTCTAGGTTGCTGCCTGATACAGGAAAAACAAGTGGGCTGGAGAGGATGGGGAGGGAGGGAAGGTGAATTGCTTTTTGTTTCCTGTCGCCTTTCATGGGAAAGTGAATTCAAGGTATGGGATTCCTGTCTTTCAAGCACTGGTCTCCCTCACATAAAGTGTCCCAAGTGGATTTCAAAGACTGGCCCTGTGCTTCTGCTCTCTGCTCTCATGGAAATTAACTATGATCTTGCCAGTCTGTGCTTTGAGAAAAGCACCTCTCTTTATTTTTTGTGGGAATCTGCATCCCATAATAACAGTGCCTCTCAGTGGGAGCAACATGAAAGCAAATTAACCCTTTAAATTACAGGGAGGAGGCAGTAGTAAATTCACGCCAGGTTGAAGTGGCACCTCTTTTTCTTTGCATAAGGTAATGAACTCTTAAGATTTGTAGCATTTGTGGGGAGGTGAAGCTGGGGGGTGTGGGGGGGCTTACAACCTGGAGATTCTGTTTCTCCTTGTAGCTGCCACTGAGTGAAATTAGGTTAGGTTAAGAATACTGGAAAGACTTCTTTCTACCAATTAGGGAAAAAAATATTAACAACGTGAAAAGAATAGGAACTCAGTTCTGCTGAGTCCTTCTCTTGTTCCACAACACTCTTAGATTCTCAATGAGAAAAATCAAGATCTAGAGAAGTTAGAACCATTCTCTGTGGTTCTGTCTTAACTAAACAGCAGAGCTTGGGTATGTGAACTCAGCTCTCTCTGATTCCTGAAGTAATGGAACTGTTTCCCAGGGTGAAGGCTCTATGCTAATTTGCAGGCAGGTCAAGTCTTTGAAATTGTGCCTGGCATGAATTGTCACATAAACAAATGATCCCCTGTGATGAACTGTTGCATAAATGAATGAACATATTCATACCACTGATATCCAGGGGCTCTAGCAAAAGGCCAAAAATATTTTTTAACAGTAGTATGCTGCTCCACAGAGGTACACGGACTGCAACTGTGGTGTGCGTGGGAATTTCTGGTCAAGACAAATGCCTTAGTCCTTCTCATCTTCTTCTAGAAAGCTCTCAGTGATGTACATCTTTCAAAAGTTCAGAAAACTTGGTTTCTTCCAAAATAGTCAAGTCAGCTAAAAGGTTCCAATGATGCCAGTTCTTTGGTGTGGTGACATTTTATATGAGTTTTAAATGCATCTCCTTATAACAAAGCAGAGAATGAAGGAGACTGTGGGTGGAAATTAGTTCCTGTAGGTGCTACAACACACACAAACACACACACATACACACACACACAGAGACACAGATCAAGTTGGGGGATTGATTCTATGGTTCAGAAGTGTCAAAAAAACATTGTGTGGAGTATGTCTTTTTAACATGTGAAAGCATCACTGTCTGTTGACTCTGGTATGATTTTTCTGTCCCTGGAATCTCTAACCCTTGATGTCATTGCCCTAGGTGATAAGAGGAAACACAACTGCTGAGCAAGTAAGCAAGGGAAACTACACATCCATGAACACGTGTGTCTGTGACCATATAGAAACAAGCACATGGAAGCAACTGAAAACACACAGAAGGGGACAAGTCAGAATGTTCAGGCAGCACTTGACTTAGCACATCACAGACCTTTCATTGCCTCATGAGTTTGGCTACATTTTTCCTACTTAAAAAAGCTCAAAAATATTTACATGGAAACAAGTAAAAAATGTTTTAAAAAATCTCAGCATTATTTTATGAATAAGTAGTGTGGGTATCTTAAAACAAATGGCCTATGTATTTGAAGTTTGTGAAATAAAAATTTATCTTCATTTGTAGAATAAAAATTCAAAAACCATGAGTTTTCGGTATGCATATCTCTGTGGCACAGGATAGTGTACCTTTAGTTTCTGCTTGTAGCACAAATAGAATTGTGGGGAGGGGAGGCAAAAGTACCGAAAAAGCCAAAAAGAGCTTTCTTTGTAAAGCAAGAGACTGTAAATAAAAGTGGGGGGGGAAAGATAGTGTTTCAAGAAAAGGAAGCACGAAGGCATTAAAGATGACTTCAAGTGTCCAAGTGATAACCTACAGAAATAAACAGATAAACAGCCTGGGTGCCCCCATTGATTTGGCAGAAATAATTCTTAGAAATTTTTTTACTATTGTCTTCTCAGGCTGAGATATCTCCATGTGTCTGCCATCCTCCTGCACTTCCTATATTTCCTTATGAGAATACAGTGGCTTTCTTTTTATTAGCTTGGGACTAGGAATGGAAGAAATGTAAGCAGCTGTGAAAGACGGATTCAAACATCAGCATCTACCAGACTATATTCCTGGTGACTATCCTGGATATAAGGTTTGCCCACACAGAACATGAGCTGACTGTTGATTACTTTAGAGATATGGTATATAGTTTGGCACTGTCTCAGAAAGGAAGACTAGAACTTTCTAGACTGGGATGGCAATGCCATTTGTCTTTTCTCTACTCTTGATGGACAGGTCATTCCCCCTCCTCTCCTATCTTCTCTTGATTTGAGTGACTCTTCTAAAAATGTTTCCTGCTATGGTCACTTTCCCAGGAGCTCCAAAGAGCATGGTGGTCTATTTATTTTGATAAATCTGTCAGTAGGGCAATAAAAGAGATTGTCAGTGCTGGGCATTTTCTCAGTAAGAACCCTGCTCTTTATTACAGTCTACAGCTCTTTGGTTTTTCAGAACATGCATTTCCTAGCCTTTTCTTTTGTAAATCTCATAGAATAATTTCCTATAGAAACCATGAAGTTTAAAGACGAGCATAAGAACAAGGATAGAAAGATGACTTACTTTGGTCTGAATGTCAGACTTCTGTAGGAAAGAGGATTCTAAGCTCTTCCCACAATCTCTCCTAATCTCTTAAAGTCATGCTGATTAAATACAACCTAGGCTAGATGTTACTCAGTATGTAATTGCAGCTTCAAATCCCTGTGAACAAGAATGCTTTTAACCAGTGTTGAGAAAATCACTTGCAATGGATTTTAGGTAAACTACTTTGGGGTGGGGGGCTCCTGCCTCTGACTTACCTCTTGTGGGGATGGAAGCCTCAGCTTCAGTACATATTTGAATATGGGGAAGCAAATAATAAAAGTTAAGCTGGGCCAGATAAACAAGGGTGGGAGTGGTTATCATGTCCTACAAAAAGCAGCAAGCTCCTCAAGGCATAGGAATTGCATTCTGGAAACAGCAGTCAGAAATACATCTGGTCTTTGATTCTAATACATGCACATAAAGGGAAAGGATTGCCTTCCACCTTAGTACAGAGTCAATTGTTGACCAACTGTGAATAGAGGAGGAACTGAAAAAAAATGAAGTATTTTTGTTATGAGAAACAAAATGAACATTTTATATGAAGGCATTTGGTAAAGTACATTGCTCAAATATGATTAATCTGTACTGTTTTGATTATATACATCAATTTTGAACTTAAATATACAATAGAGATTTCTATACGTCATGTATACACATATACATGTTACACACATATATATATTTATATAAATATACATATATTCAATTTTCAAGCAAGTTCAAGTAAATTACTGTGAGCTGCGGGTTTATGGTAGCAATAGAATTCTTGCCCAGCGTGTGCATGACAGAGAATTCAACCCTCAGCACAGGAGATAGAATTATATAAGAGATAATTGAACCCAAACACCTGCTGCCATTTTAAAACATTTACACTAAAGCTTTCTGAGGAAAAGCAGCCAGGTTGCTGCATTGGGTCTCACAGGAGATAGAACCCTGTCAATATATCACTGTAAAATCATATAGTATTGGGGCTACTAGGAAAGAGAAGCCACCCACTGATTTTAGGCCTACTTTCAAAACTTAAATGTTCGAGAATAGTTATGTCTAATTTTGTGAACAATGCAAAAGTAGATTAAACACCATAAACTAAACTTAAGAGTTTTACAAATAAAACAGCAACATGTAGATTCTTTTGTTTCTACAATATATTCTCCTACATTAATATGTAAGTTCTTGATAACCATTTAGGGGTGTGTGTGTATATGAAGACTTCCCTCTAGAAATATCCTTTATTTTTCTTCTGATGTCTCCAAATTATTTCCCTCATAATGGACAAGCTTTTTCATACATCGAATGAAATAATGAGGCCACTTAGCCCAGTGGTTCCTAAAACCTGGCTCCATATCAAAATCACCTAAGACATTTCAGAGCATTTAGCTTCTGTATCCCATGTCTTAAGATTATGATGTGTTGGCATAAATGTGGCCTGGTCTTCAGAATATTGAAAGAGACTATGGTAACCTAGTTTGTGCACAGGCTTGAAGCAATTCACATCAACTATTTGGATCTCATTTTCTTCACTTGTACATGTGTTGCTGGTCCTGAAAGCCCTTGAAGGTATGAGAAAGTGACCAGCTTTCTGCAGCAGGTTCTGGAGAACTCTGGCCTTCTCTGATCCTTGTGAGGCATCAGATTGGGCTCTCTGGTAACATTGCGTTAAGAATAAAGAGGTAAATCACATTTGTTGAATGAACAGTGATGGTCTTAATGAATGAGTCTATCAATCTATCAACCTGACTTGGAGAGTGCTGGTTCAGATCCATCTCCACCGCCTACTCTCATGAATCAGTGTTAATCACTTACCTTGTCAAGGCTCAGTTTCCCCCATGTGAAAACTGGTTCACCAGATCTCCAGTGAGATGCCTTATATGCTCAAATCTACGACCCCATGGGCAGAAAATTCTCTAAGATCTGATTTAATTTTAAGATTCCATGAGTCAAAGAGAACTGATGATCTTATCTTGCTCACTCAAGACAGCACTATGGGGGGGATGCTTAATTGGTCTAATTTTACACTGAATCATCATTAAGCCTCTAGGCAATGTAGCTGCAGACTATGATTCTTCTCTCTAGTGGTTAAGACTCATTTTACTCCTTAAAGCTTTGTAAAATATTATCTTCCTTGCTGTTGTGAATATAGACAGCAAAGCCTCAGACAGACTGATTCATAGCTACTGTTTCTCAGGGTCATAACTATAGACGACAATCAACACAGCCTTCCTTGCCTTCAGCTTTCTTTCTGCCAGCAGACTGTCTGGACCTTGCCCGGACAGTCTCTGGGCATTAATGAATGCTGCATTCACTCTGCTGGATACCAGAATGACTAACCCAGAGAATATTTGGGCAGCCTGCAGTCACAGTCAATGTCTTCTTATGCCATCTATCCTGTTTTTCTCATGTTAGCTTGGACGTCAGGGCAGCACATAAAAGGCAGCATGACCAAAGAGAATTCACTGTCAAGGGGAGGTACTGTTAATATGCAGAGGCTCCTGAGCACAGCCCATGGAGTCACGGCTGCCAAATGGAATAATTTAAAGAGTTGTGCTTTGTTGAAGCCAAATTACTAATGTAACCTTGCAAATCTCTAAAATGGTTTTTTAGAAAAGGAAAAATTACTTAAGATAATTTACATCATCTATCAATAGGGCCTGAGATAATTTTTACACTCTAGACTATTTTTTGTTAGTAAAGTTTTATTGGCTATAGCTACAGCATTTGTCTACAGACGTCTCACTAAAATGCAGTGCTGACGAGACATAACAGATTTCGAAATGAGGAGTGTAATGTATTTACAACTAAACACGTTGACATAAGCACCTTTCTAAAAATTGGCTTTTTCTTCACTGCCTTCTTTCCTTCCTTCTTTCCACCTTTCCTTTCTTACTCTTCATCTTGTTCTTAACCAATTCACATCTATCCAGTTATTAAAGCAGTGAAATGAATACCGTGAGAAATACAAAGAAACAAAGTAACCTCCTATTCTTTCAAAACATTCCTGAGCATCAGAAATCATCTTGTTGGGATCACTCATCTTCAGAACCATTTGGAAGCTTCCCTCCTACACATACTTTGCACATGGACTTCAGGAAGAAGAAAGACATGTGTTAATGACCTTCTGATGGACTACACCTTAGTAAACCACTCAGATACACATAAGTTATAGATCTATGTAACCTCAAACCAAAAGGGATCATTATTTCTTCCTGATCCTCTCCAGTGAATGCTGTAAAACTAGAGTTTTTAATAAACCAAGTTCCAAAGAATGCCTCTTCAGCTTTCAGAATGTGTGTGTACACATTTAAACAACCTAATTTGTAAATATTTGTAGTGGATCTATAGGTTATTTTTATAATGTTTTCCAATGTTAAAGAAACTACTGACTGAAAATGGTGTTTATGTCTACAGTCTTGGTGAAATCAAAATAAAAAAAAATATAATCAATTTTTTTTTTGCCCAAGATTTCTTCATGTTAGTGAGAGGAGAAAATTCAAATGGAAATTTAGTTTTTAAAGTTTTCAAATGTGATTTTATTTAATGAATTTTATTCCAGCTGCATGTCTTAATGCAGTGGTGTTCACTGCCATTGGAATGTGCCTAATTCTGATCTGCGATAAACATCTTTCCCTACATAGTAGCAAATCTGATATCTACATGTTTGAAGAGCAGAAATCAGAAGAATTAAGTATGCATTAC